CCCCCCGCAGGGTTTCAAGGGGGTCGATTGGGGGCGGGGGGCGACAAGGAGAAGAAGGAGGAGCCGCTGGCGGAGGGCCCGACGACGAGCCCCCGCGTGGCCCGCGGTTCTCCGCCGGGACATTGCAGCGGGGAATCCCTATTCCACGCTGCTGCCGTTGATTTGAATTGGCGCCGCTCCCAGCAAGAACAACGCTCCCGCTTGAGGCTTCCTCTTAAAATTATTCCTCGCATGTACATTCACGCGTTCCCACACGCGCAATGGGCAACACACATACGTGCAGCTGGCTGGGGCCGCCCTGGGAAACCTCCAGGGCACCCAACCAGCGGAACGCGAGGGAGCGGGTGGGCGGGGAAAGCAACCCAACCCGAGAGCAGCCTGCACCGCGGCAGCAGCAGCCCCACGAGAAGCGATGCGCACGCGCACCCCCTGACCCCGCAGGCGCTGCTGCGTCCGCGTGCTGACGCAGGGGTCCACAAGGCCCCTGGTGACCAACGACAGACGGACACGGACGGACGGACACGGACAGAGGGGCAGAGAAGGAAACCGCACCCTGAACGGGCCAGGCGTGAGCAAGAACTTCCCCTCCAACTCCGCAGCCTCCGTAGGAGGCTACCGGCCATGAGCCAAACGCACGAAGCTAGGAGGCCAGGAAGCCAAGAGGCTAAGAGTGGACAAGAATCCTGCTCCTCAAATTTCACTGCCCCCCAAACCACTCGTGCCTCGTGATTTAGGGGCGACCTATTATTCCTCGCATGTACATTCACGCGTTCCCACACGCGCAATGGGCAACACACATACGTGCAGCTGGCTGGGGCCGCCCTGGGAAACCTCCAGGGCACCCACTGCGCCCAGGTGGGTCCGGACAGCTGCGCGAAGCGGTTTGCTACTGGTACCTGTGCCCCCCCATGCAAGCAGGAGCATTTTTACTCAGCAGCGTCCGACGAATCTGAGTGTTCAACTAAGAACTCTGCTGCCGCCACGTTCCCCCGCGCCCTGGCTGAAGCGCACGCGAACGCGGTGAGCCCGCGCCACCCACCAGAATAAAACAGGGCAGTGGGGCCGTTCGCCTGCAAACAATCCGTCGCCCAACCTCGGCGAAAAGCATGCGTTCCCCAGAACATGGCGTTTTCTATGCCGCACGCCTGAGCCGCCACCTTCAGCGCGGCAAGGCTTTCCGAATATGTCAGGCCAGGAAACAGCGCTCCGGAATGACAGCTGTGGCGAGAAACAAGCACACATACTCCACAAAGCGCTTTACCCTGGAGGGCGCATATGCACCTCCGAACCACTTGCACGGGCTCGCTGTAGCATTTCCTGTTGGTGAAAGTGATGGACACCTCCTTGCGCGTACCAGCCGCCGCGGCGAGGCAGACTGGCGCTGTCACCGATCCAATTTGGAGAACCTCGCCATACCGTAAACAGAAATGACGCGCCACGACCCAGGACGCCCCAACGTCGGGCAGGCCGAACGCCGAGCACCACGTGGACAGAGCTTTGGTCTCGCAGCGGTGGCACGAACGCGAGGCCGTTTGAACGACCGGCCTGCCTTTTCAGCGCCACGGACGACCCGGGCCGTATCTGCCAGGGCGCCCAAAGGGAAACGCATCCAATGCAGCACAGCGCGGAGGTGGGACAAGTATCGCGCCAAGGTCCCTGCACTCCGAAATAAACTGATACATGCGTCAACCACGGGCGTCGTCGGCGGCCAAGGTGCAGATGCCGAGTGCAAAGCCACCTGGCCGTACAACCGCACTGCAGAAGAGTAGCCTCGCGCACTGGCGCGCCACCCGCAAAATTCGAGCCACACAGCCTGCTCACGCATGGCCTCCAAGTCGACAATATGGCGGCTGCGAGTCAGCTCTTGCCTTGGCGAAGAAGACGGCAGCGGAAACACATCCCCGTCAATTTTGGCCAAAACCAAAATGGCATCTGCGAGTGTTGCAGGACCTGGCATGTCCCCAGACGCGCGGGCCACAGCGCAAAGCCTGAGAGCCGCGCGCGCTGCCATTGCCCGAGAGTTTGTCCCTGACGCAAGGGCAAGCACAGGCGGTTCGGGGAGTATCTGCGTCGGGGAGTAACGGGGCCACAGCACCGCGCACTGCGCCCTCAGGTTCTGCAGAGGCGCATGCTGACGCGCACAGCTCCGTCAGCGCCTCCGCGAACGGCAAAGGTACACCTCTGAGCGCAGACCAGATGTCCTGCGCCTCTGCCGCCGAAATGCCAAGGAAATCCGAATGATCTACTGCTCCCTCGACGGCCAGATCCGACTCAATTCTTCGCACGTCGACTGTGAGACCTGAAATGCTCGCCGCTCTTCGCAACAAAACGCCGAGCGTGGAACTGCCAGCCCGTTCCACGCGGTCACGCGCATCGCTCAGCCTGGGACGCACCAAACGACCATCATCTCGAGCCAGCTCGTCCTGCCGTGCCCTACTCTGGCCAATGAAATGTAACATTTGCTCCAATCGGCTACGGACGGAACCGCGCAGTGGACGACGAATGACGCCGAACAGGCGTAACGCGAGCACACATTGGCCACGGACCAGCTGACGGGCACACAGAACAATTTTCGGAGTCCGAGGCCCTGCGGAAACAACCTCGGCCACAAACTGCCGGAACCAGGGCCGAACCTCATGGGTCCGAATGGAAGCGCTCAGGGCGCCAAAACCAAACAGGAAACGGCGTTCCGACAAGAGACCTGTCAAGTGGCACGCAGAGATGAGGGTTTGTGCCGCACGATGGTGACGACGCCACACCTGACAGCGAAAGTTCTTTTTCCACGGTCGGGTACAGTCACTCCGCGTCCCAAGGCAGTGCTGCCGGCCATAACCAGGCAATCCGCTCAAAGCTCCGGGCGCCAAATGCGGCCACAGCTGCGTCCCAGGTGTCCCACCTGGTGGGCCCATCGGCGAGGTTCAGCTTACTTGGAACACGGAACGCGTGCAAAGAGATGCCGGCCCTGGCGACCTGGAACCAGAAACCAGTGACCAAAGCATTGAGATCCGTTTGTCTGCTCGCTCCGCGCACAAGCACGTGCAACGCCGGATTGCAATCCACGAAAAGAAGAATTTCGCAGTTAGCCAGTCCGCGCTCGATTAAACATCGGACTGCGCACGCTGCGGCAAGCAGCTCCCGCAGCACAATCTGGGTGCGCCGTGGATGCGCCCACTGCCAAGCCTCCTGCGGCACCGAGGCGGCGCTCCACAATCGGAAACTCGGGTGCACCAGTGCGAATGCTATTCCTCCATCTCCCGCAGCATCTGTATACACAATGCACCGCTCAACGGCGCGCGGCGCAAGCTGAATCCGCCTTGTCGGCGCCTCTGCTAAAAACGCGGACCACCAGCGGAGCGCCGTCCGGACGCGCGCCGTCAAACGAGCAGTGCGGCGATTCGCTTGCCAGTGAAGCGCTGCGAGATACGCCCTGGCTCCCTTTCCAAAAACAGCGCTGCCAGCCCAATTCAGGCGGCCGGCCAACCGCTTCGCTTCGGCTGGACTGAGGGCGTCACTCTGGAGAGCCTCCTGAATGGTCTCGAGCCACTTCTGCTGTTTAGCTGGCCCAATCTGGAAGATGATTTCGCCTGAGCGCGCAGAAACGTCCACTCCCAAAATGGTGGTGCTCGTGGCGCCTCTCACGCGCTTCGAAGGCTCAAGCACCCAGCCTGTCAAGCCCAGCAGTTGCTCTGCGCAATGCGCTGTCCCTACTGGCCCTGTCAGCGCGCTTGCTGCGTCCAGGCACCTATCGGCAGAGAACAGATCGTCCACGAACCGGGGATATGCCACAAACAGATCTCGCGCAAGCAACGCCTGGAAGAACGAACCAAGCCTATGCCAGCTGTGGACAGAAGCGCTCGACCCAAAAGGGCAGCAAATCAACTGCAGACCTTTGGCCTGCTCGGCTGCAGTGCGCCAGGAAATGACAGCGAAAGGCAGGTGTTCCGCCCGCAGCGGCAGGGATTTGAAGGCCCCTTTAAAATCCTCCTTCCGGAAGCACACAGCGCAGTCGCGCGGCGCATCGCCAGCGACAGACCGCGCAACAGCGAGCAGAGCGTCCAAAGTGTCGACCGGCATGGGTTCCCCAATCGCCGTTGCTGAATTGACGAGAGACCCTGAGAAATCATCAATCAAGCGGACCTTGGGGATGAACTCGCCGCCTGCTTCCTTCCACCCCTCCAGGGCAGGGAATCGGGCAGAGATCACGGAGGCGGCGGGACGCAGCTCTGTCCACCACGCCTTCTTTTCGGCCACCTCTTGCACGCATTTCGCCACAAATGCGTTCCAGATTGCAGGCTGCGCGGCCGACGGTCCGCGCACTCGCTCTAAAGTGTTGGCGTTGTTCTCCAAACAACGCTCGGCGAGAGATTCTGCAGTTTCTGACACTGCAGGGTACGCGACGGGCGGCAAAATGCCGCTCCGAGGCAACTGGCCAAGCAAGGGAAAGCCTCGTTTGAGATCTTCCACCAGGCGGCAGTCTGGCCAGCCAATTGCCTCAATCATTTCCGCAAGAAGAATGAGATTCTTCTCGGGCCCGAGGACAAGCTGACAATGCTCGGGCAAAAGCGCAAACGCACATCTCCAGGCTGAATCTGTTTCGCGCTTTCGCGCGGCCCAGTGCTGGAGCCTCGCCGCCCGATGCGCGTGAAGCTCGGAATCTGACAGGGATTCCGCCCCCCCAGTGCCTCAGCTATTACTGCTGGCACTGGCGGGAGCCCTTCGTGTGCAGGCAAAGAAAGAGCCCATTCCAGGTGACTCCAAGGGTCCATGGAGCCTAGCAAAACAGGATTGGCTAGCAAGGAGTCCACGGCTTCGCTCAAGGCAGCAAACCCGCCGAGCGAATGCTCCAGGGACTCCTGGTCCTTTAAAACACTTGTAGGGGTACTATCAGCATCACTGGCGGACGCATCTTCGGACGCCTGGCTTCACCGGCTCGACCAGCTTTTGCCATGCTGCCAGCTCTGGCCTTTGCTCCACTGACTCTCTTTTTTGTTGCGGTCTGCCTGGGCGCGGCTGCGCGATCTGCGCCGCAGGACTGGCGACACAGGTGCAGGGCGCGCCCCCTTGGGCCCACCAGCACACTTGCCACTACCCTTGCCAGAGCTGCCCTTTGCCTGCGCCGGCTGCGCTGGACCTTTGCCTGCGGCCTTCCCCGCGCGGCCGATCGCCGTCTGGGCCTTGTCCCGAGCGTCCCGGACGATCTCACGGTCCAACCTCTGGAAAAAGTGCGCAATCTGCTCGCCCCTCTCCAAGGAACGTGCCATCTCACGCCGCACCAGCCAATCGTAGAAATAGGCGGTGTGCACGCCCCCGAACTCCTCGGCAACCCGCGTAAGCAGGAACACGTAACCCAGCACCTCGGACACAGAACAAACCTTCATGATGCAGATCTTGAGCCCCCACGTCATGACGTGGCCCAGGAACGTCGCGAAGCCAACGTAGTGCACCCGATCCTCGAGCGTCCGGGCGCGGCGCATCTCAAGAGACGCGCGCATCCGATCCTCCCAGGTGCCTCCTGCAGCGACGACGTCGATCTCTGGGGTGCGGCTCCACTGGGGTCGGTGGGCTGCTTGGAGGTCGTCGCCATCAGCGCTGCCCACGAAGTGCCTGTCCCGGTCGGCAGCGGCGCGGCCGGCCGCCTCCCACTTGCCCGCGAGCTCCTCTGACGGCAAAGCCTCTGGGGGAAACTCGTGGAGCCCGACCTCGCGGATCCTGTCCCCAGGCTGAAGGACAGGCCCTTCTTCGGCTGCGAGCCAGCTTGCTTGACAAAGTCGCGCATCACCTCTGCGAAGGCATCAGTAGCCGTCGCAGCAGGGGCCACGTCACTGCTGCTTGGTCCTGCGCCGCTGCTGCCAGCGGTGCCTGCCTGGGCCACGCACTTGCCCTGGACGCGCAAAGCGTGCACGAGCTGCGCCGGGGAGAATTTCAGAAGTTTCCAAGCCTCCGGGTAATCCTCAGCGCCGAAGGGGAAGTCGTTGGGCTTGATGCCCTGCGTGATCATGCCGCGGATCACCACGTCACTGTAATCACTCGGGTGGGTGCTGCCCACGAGGTTGGCGAGAGCTGCGGCTACACTGGTGTAGAAACGCAAGTCGTGTTTGGCGCGTGGGGCTTCGTCGACGCTCAGTGCGAACCGCACCCAGTTCAGCCTGTCTGCGGCGGGCGCCCCGGAGAACGCTGCGGCAGGCAAACCCTCGAGATCCGCCTTGATCTCAACGTCTGTGAACGAAACCTGCGCCATGGTGTTGCGGACAACGAAGCAGGAATCTGCAGATTGGTTAGCTGGTGAGCAACAAAGACTGACTCGAACCGTGGAGGCTACGGACATCACAATAGCCACACAAGACCGCCGAGCAAAACGTGGGACGAGAAACGGGCAGACCCAGCAAAATCTGCGACGAGGAGCAGCAAACCAGCGCAAGCAGAAACACCTTCACCAAGTTGCACCCAAAGGCGCCGGCGAAGCCGCGGTAGCTGGAAACGCCCAGCGTCAACCAACGTTGACGGTCGTTGAGTTTGGTCCCGCACGCCAGGATAACCTGGAATGAACAACTGCACCCCCTCAGCGTTAGCAACGGCCTGAGCAGCCGAGCGCGAGCAATGGCGCGCCAGCCGAACCCAGCGTTAGCAACTGGGACGACTGAAACCGCCCAGCGTTCCAGAGCACACCTGCCCAACTCAGCGTCAGCAAGGGCCTTTGCAAGCTCGAGCCGCCCAGCGTTAGCTAGGGCTCATCAGCGTTGGCAGCACGGAGCCGCCCAGCGTCAGCAAGGGCGCACCAGCGAAACCCAGCGTCAGCAAGGGTGCCGTGACTGAGCCGCCCAGCATGAGCTGGGGCACCCAGCGCTAGCAAGGGTATTTAGCGCCTGGAAGCGTTAGCAAGAGCGCTCCAGGAAAGCCCAGCGTTTGCGGGAGTTTTTGGCGCCGGAACCGCCAGCGTTAGCAAGGGCGCACCAGCGGACCACAGCGTTAGCGCTGACTGGAGCAGCCCAGCGTTAGCAAGGGCGCCCCAGCGGAACCCAGCGTTAGCAAGGGTTTGTGGTGACTGGAGCAGCCCCGCGTTAGCGAGGGCGCACCAGCGGAACCCAGCGTTAGCAAGGGTTTGTGCTGACTGGAGCCGCCCAGCGTTAGCAAGGGCGCACCAGCGGAACCCAGCGTTAGCAAGGGTTTGTGGTGACTGGAGCCACCCAGCGTTAGCAAGGGCGCACCGGCGGAACCCAGCGTTAGCAAGGGTTTGTGGTGACTGGAGCCGCCCAGCGTTAGCAAGGCCGCACCAGCGGAACCCAGCGCTAGCAAGGGTTTGTGGTGACTGGAGCAGCCCCGCGTTAGCAAGGGCGCACCAGCGGAACCCAGCATTAGCAAGGGTTTTTGGTCCTGGAGCCGCCCAGCGTTAGCAAGGGCGCACCAGCGGAACCCAGCGTTAGCAAGGGTTTGTGGTGACTGGAGCAGCCCCGCGTTAGCAAGGGCGCACCAGCGGAACCCAGCGTTAGCAAGGGTTTGTGGTGACTGGAGCCGCCCATCGTTAGCAAGGGCGCACCAGCGGAACCCAGCGTTAGCAAGGGTTTGCCGTGAATGGAGCCGCGCAGCACTGCTAAGGGCGCGCCAGCTGGCAGCGGGGCCGCCTGGCGCCACGCACTGGCGAAACCCAGCCAAGGGCGCACCTGGAACTACCAGCTGCGCGCTTGCAAGAGCACCCGTGCACGAACGGCAAATGCGACGAGGAGCGCCAGCACCAATGCCCAACGGCCCGCAGGCGAGAGCACGCAACGTGACGCGGCGCTGAAGGCGAGGTGCTGCAAAGGGAAATACCAGACGACCCTCCCGCCTCCTATCCCCGTCTGCGACCTGAGTGCACCACCCAGGCCTGCAGACGGCGTCATAGGAGCACGGGCGTACAGACAGGGGCGTGGGCCCTGTCCTGCTGCACCGCGGCAGCGGCAGCCTGCACCGCGGCAGCAGCAGCCCCACGAGAAGCGATGCGCACGCGCACCCCCTGACCCCGCAGGCGCTGCTGCGTCCGCGTGCTGACGCAGGGTCCACAAGGCCCCTGGTGACCAACGACAGACGGACACGGACGGACGGACACGGACAGACGGGCAGAGAAGGAAACCGCACCCTGAACGGGCCAGGCGTGAGCAAGAACTTCCCCTCCAACTCCGCAGCCTCCGTAGGAGGCTACCGGCCATGAGCCAAACGCACGAAGCTAGGAGGCCAGGAAGCCAAGAGGCTAAGAGTGGACAAGAATCCTGCTCCTCAAATTTCACTGCCCCCCAAACCACTCGTGCCTCGTGATTTAGGGGCGACTAAAATTATTCCTCGCATGTACATTCACGCGTTCCCACACGTGCAATGGGCAACACACATACGTGCAGCTGGCTGGGGCCGCCCTGGGAAACCTCCAGGGCACCCACTGCACCCAGGTGGGCCCGGACAGCTGCGCGAAGCGGTTTGCTACTGGTACCTGTGCCCCCCCATGCAAGCAGGAGCATTTTTACTCAGCAGCGTCCGACGAATCTGAGTGTTCAACTAAGAACTCTGCTGCCGCCACGTTCCCCCGCGCCCTGGCTGAGGCGTACGCGAACGCGGTGAGCCCGCGCCACCCACCAGAATAACACAGGGCAGTGGGGCCGTTCGCCTGCAAACAATCCGTCGCCCAACCTCGGCGAAAAGCATGCGTTCCCCAGAACATGGCGTTTTCTATGCCGCACGCCTGAGCCGCCACCTTCAGCGCGGCAAGGCTTTCCGAATATGTCAGGCCAGGAAACAGCGCTCCGGAATGACAGCTGTGGCGAGAAACAAGCACACATACTCCACAAAGCGCTTTACCCTGGAGGGCGCATATGCACCTCCGAACCACTTGCACGGGCTCGCTGTAGCATTTCCTGTTGGTGAAAGTGATGGACACCTCCTTGCGCGTACCAGCCGCCGCGGCGAGGCAGACTGGCGCCGTTTGTCTGCTCGCTCCGCGCACAAGCACGTGCAACGCCGGATTGCAATCCACGAAAAGAAGAATTTCGCAGTTAGCCAGTCCGCGCTCGATTAAACATCGGACTGCGCACGCTGCGGCAAGCAGCTCCCGCAGCACAATCTGGGTGCGCCGTGGATGCGCCCACTGCCAAGCCTCCTGCGGCACCGAGGCGGCGTTCCACAATCGGAAACTCGGGTGCACCAGTGCGAATGCTATTCCTCCATCTCCCGCAGCATCTGTATACACAATGCACCGCTCAACGGCGCGCGGCGCAAGCTGAATCCGCCTTGTCGGCGCCTCTGCTAAAAACGCGGACCACCAGCGGAGCGCCGTCCGGACGCGCGCCGTCAAACGAGCAGTGCGGCGATTCGCTTGCCAGTGAAGCGCTGCGAGATACGCCCTGGCTCCCTTTCCAAAAACAGCGCTGCCAGCCCAATTCAGGCGGCCGGCCAACCTCTTCGCTTCGGCTGGACTGAGGGCGTCACTCTGGAGAGCCTCCTGAATTGTCTCGAGCCACTTCTGCTGTTTAGCTGGCCCAATCTGGAAGATGATTTCGCCTGAGCGCGCAGAAACGTCCACTCCCAAAATGGTGGTGCTCGTGGCGCCTCTCACGCGCTTCGAAGGCTCAAGCACCCAGCCTGTCAAGCCCAGCAGTTGCTCTGCGCAATGCGCTGTCCCTACTGGCCCTGTCAGCGCGCTTGCTGCGTCCAGGCACCTATCGGCAGAGAACAGATCGTCCACGAACCGGGGATATGCCACAAACAGATCTCGCGCAAGCAACGCCTGGAAGAACGAACCAAGCCTATGCCAGCTGTGGACAGAAGCGCTCGACCCAAAAGGGCAGCAATTCAACTGCAGACCTTTGGCCTGCTCGGCTGCAGTGCGCCAGGAAATGACAGCGAAAGGCAGGTGTTCCGCCCGCAGCGGCAGGGATTTGAAGGCCCCTTTAAAATCCTCCTTCCGGAAGCACACAGCGCAGTCGCGCGGCGCATCGCCAGCGACAGACCGCGCAACAGCGAGCATAGTGTCCAAAGTGTCGACCGGCATGGGTTCCCGAATTGCCGTGGCTGAATTGACGAGGACCGAGAAATCATCAATCAAGCGGACCTTGGGGATGAACTCGCCGCCTGCTTCCTTCCACCCCTCCAGGGCAGGGAATCGGGCAGAGATCACGGAGGCGGCGGGACGCAGCTCTGTCTGTCCACCACGCCTTCTTTTCGGCCACCTCTTGCACGCATTTCGCCACAAATGCGTTCCAGATTGCAGGCTGCGCGGCCGACGGTCGGCGCACTCGCTCTAAAGTGTTGGCGTTGTTCTCCAAACAACGCTCGGCGAGAGATTCTGCAGTTTCTGACACTGCAGGGTACGCGACGGGCGGCAAAATGCCGCTCCGAGGCAACTGGCCAAGCAAGGGAAAACGTTTGAGATCTTCCACCAGGCGGCAGTCTGGCCAGCCAATTGCCTCAATCATTTCCGCAAGAAGAATGAGATTCTTCTCAGGCCCGAGGACAAGCTGACAATGCTCGGGCAAAAGCGCAAACGCACATCTCCAGGCTGAATCTGTTTCGCGCTTTCGCGCGGCCCAGTGCTGGAGCCTCGCCGCCCGATGCGCGTGAAGCTCGGAATCTGACAGGGATTCCGCCCCCCCAGTGCCTCAGCTATTACTGCTGGCACTGGCGGGAGCCCTTCGTGTGCAGGCAAAGAAAGAGCCCATTCCAGGTGACTCCAAGGGTCCATGGAGCCTAGCAAAACAGGATTGGCTAGCAAGGAGTCCACGGCTTCGTTCAAGGCAGCAAACCCGCCGAGCGAATGCTCCAGGGACTCCCGGTCCTTTAAAACACTTGTAGGGGTACTATCAGCATCACTGGCGGACGCATCTTCGGACGCCTGGCTTCACCGGCTCGACCAGCTTTTGCCATGCTGCCAGCTCTGGCCTTTGCTCCACTGACTCTCTTTTTTGTTGCGGTCTGCTTGGGCGCGGCTGCGCGATCTGCGCCGCAGGACTGGCGACACAGGTGCAGGGCGCGCCCCCTTGGGCCCACCAGCACACTTGCCACTACCCTTGCCAGAGCTGCCCTTTGCCTGCGCCGGCTGCGCTGGACCTTTGCCTGCGGCCTTCCCC